TTATCCACGCTCATCCTTTGAGCATTTGTGGAGCAGATTTCTAAAGCTCTTTGTCGTTCTTATCATCTGCTGTTTGATCAGAGCACTGGGCCTGTCCCCCCCCCCCCCTCTTTCTCTCTCTCTCTCTCTCTCTCTCTCTCGGACATTGGTTTTTAGTTCATCCATGGTTGTTCCCGCACAGTTTCACCCTTTGTTCTTGTGAATGTTTGCAGATAAACTAGGCAGGACGTCAGCTGAAGCCTCCTAAAGTGTTTCTTAGAAGTCTACAGACTGGCATGAATCTTTAATGGCCGACTGCGTATGCATGCCTGAAGCAAATATGATAACGAGATGAAAAAAAGAGAAGAAGCGCTGAATGAAACATGGACCGCTATTGGTGCCGGCTTAATGGAGGCCAAGCTCAGAAAGAATGGATGTGCCGTCAGTCTATCTGAATGAATATCGAATGACTTTGAACAGTCCGAGTGCTGGATAGCTGGCTAACATCCGATTAGCCTGCCAATGAGAGGGTGGGTTCATTGAAGTTGCATGTCAGGTTGAACTCACCATAGAGCACAGTGGGAGAACGAATCTTCATTTTACATTGCTATTCAGTTCTAAAATGTATATAAAGAGTTAATTATTGTGATTTCCAGATTGCAACAGAGAAATACTGGGAAATGTCTCTAGACTGATGGCATTTCATGTCACATTCAGCCCTGTAATCTTAAAATATCAGCAAAATCACCTGTTTTGTCATCACTTTAGACATTACGCTAGAGAATCATTCACATACTAGCTTTAAAGTGACATTGTTGAATGAAGATAAGATAATGTCATGGCCATGTGCTCCTCTTGTCTTTCCTCCTTGCTTTCAGTTACCCCGCCCTCTTATTTAGACCTTGTTTTCCTGATTGTCTTCACCTGTCTCTCATGTGCTTTGTTCTATATAATGTGCTGTGTGTTCTCATTTCTTTGCTGGTTCGTTCCATGTGAGCTTGTCTTGTAGCCTTGCCTTGCCTTGCCTTGCCTTGCCTTGCCTTGCCTTGCCTTGCCTTGCCTTGCCTTGCATCTGTACTAAGCTTTTGGTCTTGCCTGTTCTAGTTCGCTTGTCTATTTATTGTTTGTTTGTAGCTATTACTTTCTTTCGTTGTTTGTAGTGTTTACTTAATTTTGTGTTCTAATCTTTATTTTACTTTTATCCTTAGAGCCATTGTTTTTTTTCTGTCAGTTCCATTCTTTTTAGTAGATAATTATTAGCAGTTGTTTGATTTGTTTAATTACTCTCTTTGAGATTTTAGAAGTCTAGATTTCAGTTATGTTTTATCAGATTGCTAAAGTCTGTCTTCTAGTAATTTGTTTTAGTTTATTTTATTGTATATTATTACTGTCTGTTTGTTGTCCTGACCTTCCTGGTCTGACAGTCTGGAGTTTACGTGGCCTGCTCCAAGATCTAGATCTGGTTTTGACCACTGTTGCTCCTACTCCTGGGTGGCTGTTCATTTTAGTACCATCTTGTCACTACCACTGGCTTCCTTGTGTTGTTGCCCCTACCGTTTGGACCTTATCACCCCCCTGTGTGTCTATTTGTGCCTTCTTCTGTCAATAAACCCCTTTGTATTGTTTATTGCTGCAACTGGGTCTGTTTTCTTGCATTCAATCGTGACAGTTAATATCTTTTCAGTTCCTTTTTTAACCAACACTCACTGCATTTTAGCAGAAAGAAGCTACAACAGATTATTGAGCTCAAGCTTTTTTTTTTTTTTTACAAATGCAATATTTTTTTCACAAAATTAAATCGCAAATCAAAATAGCAATATCTGTCAAAAAAAAAAAAAAAAAAAAAAAGCAATTAGATATTTTCCCCAAATTGCACAGCACCTAGTGTGGGGGAAATTTATTTGTTTTTATTACTTTAGTCTTTTAGAAAATTTATTTTACATAGCATTTCAATTCTAAAATGTGTATATATAAAGCAATTTTCTCTGCATAAAAAGTCATATATATATATATATATATATATATATATATATATATAATACAACAGGTCTGTCTGCTTCTTGTATCTAAATGGCTGATACCTGTTTGATATTCTGCAATATCCAAAAAAGGGGGAAATTTGACAAGCTATAATAAATGATCTGTTGGTTATTTTGAGCGGAAACGTCACAAACATATTCTGGGAACACCATAGGATTAATTTAGCATCTTATGAAAAGGGGCATGATAGGTCCACTTTAAATCTTTTTTCCTCATAATACCCTCACATACCCCTTGCACCTAGATATTGCTGCTGGCGAATATTATCAGACTGTTTGTTGTTACTTTTTCATATTACAGTCTCCACAGCGGGAGCTTTCTCAGCCCAGAGGCCTGTCACTATGTGTGTGCGTGTGTGTGTTCGCTTGATGGGGTGGCATATGGGAAAAGCAGACAGATTCACAGTTGGATTAGTCTGGGCAGACATGCAGGAGAGAATGTTGTCGCCAGGCTCTATAAAGCAGGTAAACAGGAGGGTTTGCCTGCGGTCTCCAGTGTGCCAGTAAACCTTCAAAAGAGAAAATAACTGCTCAGGCACTGTGAGGGCAGCAAATAATTTCAGCAGCCTCTTATTTCCTACAGACCACCCTCAGTCTCAATCTTCCCTGTAATGTGCACAAACCACATCACAGTTTACCAACACCACTGCTGACCAGAGACGTATATTGATGCTTTACATTCAAGGTCTGCTGCGGTTGAGGATTGTTTTAATGGAGGGTTCACACAACAATGCAATTTTAAGGCTATAAGGTGTTATAAATCATCATTAGCACAACAGCAGTCGGCTACTAGTATATTTTGGGAAAATATATATTTAAATAGTTTTCCTTATATTTAGTATTCAACAAAACATAATTCAAGAGTTCACACTTAGCTGATGATTGATAAGAAAGCTAATTTGGCGTGCTGTCCCGGGAGAGAGCCCTGAGCTTATAAGATCCTCGAGCCCTGGGCTCCCGTTGCAAGGCGAGAGTGGAGTTTGAGCTCAGGTATATCTCTATGACTCCCCCTCTTGCTTGTTGTAGCTAAGTGTTAGATATGGATGCTGAAAGGTGTACTCAGAGTTTGGCTAAAGTATTTGGATTATTTGTTTAGAGTGCTTGTTTTTGAACTGTGGGAGGAAACCGGAGGACCTGGGGAAAACCCATGCGACCACGGGGAGAACGAGCAAACTCCGCACAGAAATGCCGTCTGGTTTGGAAAGGAATTAAACCAGGGGCATTCTTGCTGTGAGGCAACAGCGCTAATCACTGGCCACCGTGACGCCCGTTTGAAAGGAGGGAAAGTAGGGTTGGGTGGGGTGGTTTCTTCAAGACGAAGAAATTGAGATGAGAAAAGTCTGGTTATTTATAGTAGGTTAAGGATCGTCTGATAGGATAATCAGCCGTTAGCTAAAGTTGGAACAGCTGTGAACAATCATAAGCTGTGAACAATCATAATCATAAGTGATCCTCTCGAAATTTGTTTATAAATAAACTTCACAAAAACAACAACAAAGAATTCGATAAGTGAAGTTTCACAAACTAATTTCGAGAGGAGCACGTGATAGGATTGACTACAGCTGATCCCTATCACTAATCACTAACTAGCCAATCGGATCATTTCAAATTTAATATAAATATCCAGCCTAAACTTCATTCCTCATCTTCGTTTTCGAAAAAAACCCCATCCATCCCTTCTCCTCAATTCTAAGTTCGGGCGACACGGTGGCTCAGTGGCTAGCACTGTTGCCCCACAGCAAGGAGGTCGTTGGTTCAAATACTAGCTGAGCCAATCATCACTCTCAGTGCGGAGTTTGCATGCTCTCCTCGTGCTCGCGTGGGTTTTCCCCGGGTACTCCGGTTTCCTCCCACACAAAAAACATGCAAAAAAAAAAAAGTCACAAGCACCTACTATGTAAAATTAGCGGTCTATTCGTGGGAAATTATCAAGAACTACCTGATCTCGTGTCCTTCCTAATGTTTATGTACCAGGCGGGAGCCCTGGGCTCATCTATCTCCGAGCTTAGGGTTCTCTCCCGGGACAGCATGCCAAACCTGTTAAAATAGTCAAGCATTATCTAAGTGTGAACTCTTGAAAATTATATAATTATTTTTATATATGTGAAGTCAAAAAGCCTTAATCTGAAAATGCTAATTCAAATGTTTATTTATTTAATCAATAATGGAATTAAATAATAATAATAAAAAATAATAATAATAGTAATAAAATAATATTAATAATAATAATAATAATAATAATAATAATAATAATAATAATAATAATAAACCATATCATCTACTTTTTCATTGGCTTTGATTCTGGAAGTATTTCCCCATTCATTTTACAAAGGTCGTTGATTACAAAGGTAAAGGCCTAATCCCAATTCTACCCCTTAGCCCTTCCCCTTAACAGTACTATTTCACATGCAGGGGTATTGATATCCCAATTCTCTTTAGCATGAAGGCATAGGGCTAAGGGGAAGGGCTATATACCTTACACTTGAAACTGAGATTTTTCAGGAGCACACTCGAACACCAAAAAATAACACAACTGAAATAACTACAGCAGTCGCGATCGTCTGATCTCATATGAAGCAAGTGATCGCGATGACACGATGACATGTGCAGGTGTTGTAGTGCTCTCCCATTTCTTAGGGGTAAATTTTGAAGCCCTTCCCCTTCATACTCTGTTTCAAGGGGACAAGTGGAAGGGGTACAAACATAGTCTTGGGATTGGGCCAAAATCAGTATATTTTCAATGTATCAAAAAAGGTCATAAATAACTGCTAACAGCATTGCATCTAAAACAAGCAAACAAACAAACAAACAAAAAAAACACTTTTAAGCTTTTAAGAACTTCTAAATGGACTTCATACAGTTACAAAATGACTTGCTGACATTTTAAGTATAATTCCATGAGGAAATTTGGGCCTTGTACATCCAGACGTGACTGTTGTGCAATAGAACTTACGAAACTTTTTTTTTTTAAAATCTTCGCAGCTTTGATATCAGCAGGATGTTGCAGCAACAACTGCAGGAACGTGAAGCTCTGGGACAGGTGAGTGTCTTCGGCTCTGTTCCAAACCCTAGTAAGCAGCCTTTGTAGCCAGCATTTTTAGGTATCACTGATGCCAAGGCCATTCCAGAACAGTAGGCTGCTAAATTATGCTGCCTTAAAAGAAATCTTATTTAAGTCTAAGGCTGCATCGCATACATATCCTTTACTGATGCAACAAGCTCAGTCAGATTTCCACTAATCGCTGAAGTATTGATAGTACATAGAAAGATTTCAGAGTATTAAAAAAAATGAAGACAGAGATATTAAAAATGCTCAGAGCTACGTATGACTGCATTTCGTCTTTGAATCGAACGCTACAGGAAGGTATGATGCCGTCGACAGCTTCTGTTTCTTTTCGCGCTACCAGTTGACTGCTTACCTTCATATAGATGGCTTTACCACTGTTACCAGTTTGCCCAGTGGCTCGCCACAAACGTCGGTGGACTTAAGATGCAAATCGGAGTTGACCTCAATGACAGGGTTCTAGTCCGGTAAAGAACAGTTCCAGAAAGTGGGAAAGCAAAAAAATAAAACAATCAAGTAAATAACAGGGTAAGAATGTGGTAAAATCTGAAAATGGGGTGAAAATCAGGCAAGGACTTTTCTTGTTTTGGAGTGCTTTTTTGAACCGTCGGTTGGATTTAGGAAAGGCGGTGAGTGGGTCAATCTGTGCTTTTGAAAACACTATTGGTTGGGTTTAGGGAAAGAAGAGGGTGGGTCAGTCGATCACTCAGTTGACAGAACCCTCTAGTGGATTTGCATGAGAACAGTAGGCGTGAATGGCAGTCGTGAGAGAAATTTGAGATCTGAAAAAGCGTAAACAGTGGGCCGCAAAAAAAAAAAAAAAAAAAAAACGTAGCTCCTGAGACATATTTGGTGCTCTCCAGAAATGTATATAGGGGTACGTTTCAGAATAAGCCTCGGTTGCATGTATGACAAGTACAACATCGTACTACAAAGTGTGCAATGAGTAGGCCCACACTGAATCTGCACACGCAGAAATTCACAGATTTTAAGCCCATCATTGAGTCTATTTACTTGTGTAAGTTTTAAAATTAACCTCCTAGGGCTTGAGTGTCCACATCCGTGGACAACACATTTTAGCTCTTAAGTGGCTACTTAAAATACTTTGTTTTATATTTTGTTACAGACATAGTCTCATCCTGCAATTGTTTTGCAGCATATGAAATGTCCCAAACCCTATTTCTAACTGTCCAAAATGGGAAAAAAAAATAGTTTTCACTCTTTGATTGTCAAAGCAAGTTCAAAAAACATTAAAACATTCAGGGAAAAAGTGTTTTATGCAAATTCGGACCACGAGTCCACACATATGGACATCATTTCTCTTTAAAAGTACATCTTATCAAAAGATGATGCTTAGATTTTTATTCTAATTAGATTTCAATAAGCCCAAATAGCAAAGAGAAATAAAAAATGCATGTGAAAAAAACCTTGGGCCTTAAGAGGTTAAGTCTTAAATTTGTTCAGTTTTAAATTGATTTCAGTAATATTATTGACTAAAATGACAATGTTCATATGATTTATTTACAATGCAGTTAGTAAAGTAATATTTTCTGTCTTTTGGTAGATATATTTTATGAAAGACTTGCTTTGTTTACCAAATAAATGTATCTAATTGGACCTACATTGTAAACATTCAATAAAAGTTTACATTTTTTTTGACAAAATTCTGCGCGGAAATAGCTAAAAATGTCCGCAGATTCTGTCTGGCCATAGCGATGAGCAAACTGACTACACCAGAACAGTTGCCCATATAGAGATAGATTAGTGAGGCAAACAAATTAGATCATGAAATAATAGACACTGTTATGTTGTTTTGTGGTATATATTTGCTGTTGTGAAAAGAACAGCACAAAATAATAATTTATTTCATTATTCATTTATTTCAATAATTTAATTAATTCAGCTTCCATTTTTTGTGAAACTTAAAAAACGTTGCTCTGAGTATGTTTTGTTGCACATTTCAGTTGACAAATCCACTAGAGGACGCTGTTTACATTTTTGTGAATCTCAAATACGTTACTTGGGGTACATTTTGCTGAATGTGTCGGATATACTTCCTACTCGTAAACCCTAAACCCAACCCATAGTGTTTTCAAAAGCAAATGCAGCAGAAAAGTACACTGCAGCCACATAGTTTTACCTTGATTTTACATTACATTTATTGCCTATATCACATCTCTTTTGGGAAACGGTGCTTCACCAAACTCAACCCAAAGCCCTAAGTTTCAAAATAGATCATCATAAACACAGCTGATGTTGTATTGTAGTATATATATATATATATATATATATATATATATATATATATATATATATATATATATATATATATATATATATATATATATTGGTGCTGTGAAAATAATAATTAATTGTCAATAATATGTCCCTGCAAATGTCATCAGTTTTGGCGGTTTCACAAAAATGTAGACTGATGCACATATTTCCAATGAGCCCGTGTTGCCTTTTGAGTTTTCATTTCAGGTTTAAAGCTCACATAGAATGGAGTTGCCAATGCAGACACATATACAGTATAGTGAGCTTACAGCTTACTGTAGTTCAAAACAGAACCCACTGTCACCACCCTCCATGCATGTACTGTATGCATCCATATGTGTATGAATACATTGGCAGAGGTGACCCTGTCCATGTGTGATCTCGTAAAGCTGCCCAGCAGGGGCATAAAATGGCTTTGTTAATATTTAAAAGCCTAAAGGTGGACGTTTATCCTTAGAGATTACTCACCATGTCCAGATTTGAATGCTGATTGTTTCCCTTCCCTCCAATTCCTTGTTGTTTGTGGTAATTAAAGGCACCATCATCCATATAGAAATGATGATGTGTGTAATCCTCTTGTGATCAAAGCAATAGTTGTCATTTTGTGCAGAATGCTGTCATCATTTACTCCCCTTCATCTTCAGGCCCCTGTATTATGTTCTTCCCTCTGTAAAACAATAAAATCGAAGATACACATACTGTCAAGCTCCCAAATCTCCTCCTTTTCTGAATTTCTCAAGTCATAGGCTTGCATTCAAAGTCAAAGTCAGAAGTGCATGGCTGAGGTGAACGTATATTACTTAAAAAGACTTGAAATATAGAGCACAAGTCATATGGGCTACATTTATGGTGCCCTTTTGTGTATTTTGGAGCTTGACGGTACAAATCACCCTATATGTTATACTTTAACTAATTACTAAAGCATTCCTGAAGATCTCTCTTTTTTATGTTTTGCTTCACAGAAAGAAAATAATACAGGGTTGGAACAAAACAGAGGTTAGTGAATGATGACACATTTACAGACTACTGAAATCAGTCGACCAGGGGTGCGTTTCCCAAACAACAACGCAACTTGCGACTAAACTACCGTAGTATAATGCATCATTTTGGGAAAATAACAACGTAGTAAAAAGTGTTTCACAAAACCACACACTGTAAAACCCAACAGTTGACTTTATCAAATGAAATGAGTGTAGGTAAAATTCACTGTAAGTTAGTTCTACTCATTTGAAAAGAGTTTTGAACTCTGTGTTAAAGGTAACGAGTTAATCAAATACCTCATTACTTCAACTGAAATGCAGTAAGTTCACAGTACTCATATAGATTAGTTTTTTTTAACTCAAATGGTTTGTAGCAATCGGTTTCCTCAAATGGTTTGAGTTGCCTTAACTTACTGGGTTTTACAGTACTCTGTTGGCTTGAGTTCTGTTTATTTATTGGGTTTTACTGTGCTCTAATTGCTTCGTTTACTCAAATTAAGTTCTCAGTACTCATTAGGATTAGTTTTTGAACCTTAATGGTTTGTTGCAATTGGTTTCCTCAAATGGTTTGAGTTACCTTAACTTTTGGGGTTTTACATTGTAGTTTCTTTGTTGCAAGTCCATCATTTGAACCACGTCAGTTACACTGTAAAAAGTGATTAATTACTTAAAGAAAGTAAACCAATCGCCTTCAAAGCAACAAGTCGACTTTACAAAAATAGTGTAAGTAAACTCACTGTACCTTGGAACTTTTAGTTGACTTAATTTTTATAATTATGCTAATTGTACTCACTTTTTTTTTTTATTAAACCAACAAATCCCTTTTCACAGTGTCAGACTAGCATGTCTGTTTTCAAATAATTACTGTAACTATTACAATATTACATAATTGGTGCTTCATTAAGTCTATAAAATCTACAATTATAGCCGGTATTGAATTTAGAAGACAGTGTAGTCTGGAAAAGCAGATCTGTTTTACTGTATGTTGTTTTGCTAGATATAGAACTTAGCAGATCAAAGTTACAACGGTGCATTACCGCTATTTATTTTGTTTTTACAAGCTTTGGAGACGTAACTTAAATTGCGCTTTTGCCATGAGTCACGGCTGCGTTCAAAAAAGCATTAATGTTTTCAAAGTGCACTACGCAATTGTCAATATGAAGATTGATAATCCTGAACAGTAAAAATACTTTTTTTTTTTAAAATTATTATTCCAAGTTTAAATGTTGGAGTGTCTGAAACGAAAAAGGCATAGGGTAAAAGCTAATCTAACTAATAATCTATGAACTAATTTATTGACATGAGGGGCTTGTAAATGGACCAAAATCTGTATATAGTTTAATATTGTTGAGAAAAATGAGTGAATAATAGTATTAAATGTGCACTTGTAGTGTCTTTAAACTGTATTGGAAACACAATAAAAATGTTATGTTACAAAGATGTCAAATGTAAACTCAATTTTTAATCTCTAGTTAGCCTCATAACTGTACTAGTTTTATGCTCATGTACTTCTGCAGGGGTGAAAATAAATAAATTTTGGGTTATTTTCCATTTTTATATAAATCCTACACTGTTCTCACGGTAATATAGAAATATCGGTGACCACATACAGCTGGGGAGATATAGCTCACAAACAGCTGACAGTTTTCATTTCCAATATCAAATTCTGCGGCAGCACGGTGGCTCAGTGGTTAGCACTCTCTGGGTCAGTTTTCATTTCTGTGTAGAGTTTACATGTTCTTATAAAAACTGTTTTTATTCTAACCAAAATAAAACAAATAAGACTTTATATCATACTTTATATTAAGAAAAATATTACAGGAAATACTGTGAAACATTCCTTGCTCTTTTAAACGTACAGTTGAAGTCAGAATTATTAGCCTCCCCGTATTATTAGCCCCCCTGTTTATTTTTTCCCCAATTTCTGTTTAATGGAGGTAAGATTGTTTCAGCACATTTCTAAGCATATTAATAGTTTTAAAAACTTATTTCTAATAACTAATAACTATTTTGTCTTTGTCATGATGACAGTAAATAATATTTTACTTGATATTTTTCAAGACACTTTTATACAGCTTAAAGTGACATTTAAAGGCTTAACTAGGTTAATAAGGTGAACTAGGCAGGTTAGGGTAATTAGGCAAGTTATTGTATGATGATGATTTGTTCTGTAGTCTATCGAAAAAAAAAGTTAGCTTAAAGGAGCTAATAATTTTGTCCCAAAAATGTTTTTTAAAAAATTAATAACTACTTTTATTCTAGCCGAAATAAAACAAATAAGACTTTCTCCAGAAGAATAAATATTATCAGACATACTGTAAAAATGTCATTGCTCTGTTAAACATCATTTGGGAAATATTTAAAAAAGAAAATCAAAATCAAAAGGGGGCAAATAATTCTGACTTCAACTGTAATTTGGGAAATATTTGAAAAGGAAAAAAAATTCACAGGAGGGCTAATCATTTTGACTTCAACTGTATACAATACACTTATGGTTCAGAAAGCACTGTATTGTTTACTATAGTATTACTATAAGTATTTAACCCAGCATAATATCTTTATATTGTCACTATTTGCACTGCTTTAATATTCTCATCGCTTTTCTCTTAACATTGCCTCCACAGTTTTGACGGCTCCTCGTGACCAAACCCTTCCACACAGAGACTCGCAGGGCAGATACTTCATCCCCTCTCCGTACACGTGATGGCCGACCCGTCTATCCCGATATCAGCGGTCGTAACACCAGTTGGCATCGTGGACCCTCCGCTGCAGTCATTTTAAAGAGGACTAGAACGAGACGCAGGATGTTTTCCTCCCAGTACAAACCACAGAAACAGACCCACCCACATTCAGCAAATATCTCCTGTGGTTTACAGATGTTTAACAGTACTGCATTCGGGTAATCAAACACTCCAGCCATCGCTCTCTCCCGCTATATCCGTATCATTCTGAGTAGCAATAGGACACATGAAACGCGATGCTGCGGCTTCTCTGAAGGTGCTTCCCTGCCCTTGATATTTATTTATGCAGTTTCTTTTTTCGACCAAAGCTCTTTGAAATATCTTAATTGTCCATCTTTCGCATCTCTGGAAGGAGCGTCGCTATCACCTTTGCTAGTTTTTGCATATCCTGGATGTTTTTTTACGTGACATGTATGGTTCATCAACGGAAAGCAAAACGGATTTAATACATGTTGTCGGTGACTGAATAACCTCGTCAGTGTTTTGCACTGATTCCTTGTGTGTATGTATGTGTGTGTGTGTGTGAGTGTTTATTGGCTTTATAATTCCTTCCCTCTGAGCTTCTGTACACTGTTAACACTTCTCTACAGTAGAATCTACAGTAACTTACTGGCAGCCGTTCGCCGGTAACTTACTGTAAATCAGTCACAGCAAGAATACTGTATTTACATTTACTGCGCCATTTATCTTGCCCTACATGTCTTTACAGTATTATATCTGTACTGTAAAATATACAGTAATTTTCACAATGCAACTTTAAACTACAGTAACATACCGCATAATTCTCCTACAGTAAAAACCAGTTCATAATTACTGTAAAAATTGTTTAAAAAATCGTTAACAGTGTATATATAAGCTATAATGAGGTGTTTCTTCATGTCGTTTTATATACAGAAGTACAGCATAGTACATATAGTAAATTAATGGATTAGTTTTATATGCATATAATGACTATTATTTTTGACTTACAGCTATTATTATTATTATAACGATAATTATATGAATATATATATATATATATCTATGTGCAAAATATTAAAGGATTTTCATTATGTACGAATGGGATTTCTTTGTTTCACTACTGAACTCTTTAGTCAGCAGTCTGCAGGTACATCCAGATCCCTGGTTGCTTATTCGGTTTGCGTTTATGCAAATTAGGCAGCCTCAGCCATTTCAGGGTGATAGTAAATGAGCGAAATCCTCTGATCTGAAATATGCACTCATCTCGGTCAAAAATATCCCTTTATTAAGAGTTTTATTTTGTGATTCACGTGTGTTTTACGGTTGTTAATTGCACTATGGGACCTTGATCTCTAATGTGACTAGTGTCGTTTAGCAATGTGACTTTATAGCCAAGTTAAGGCCGACTCACACTGTGCAATTTTTTATAATCCTGAACGAATGTAGCATGTCAGACTGCACGAACATGGCTCCCATGTCAGTGATCTCAGCTGCCATGAAGCCAGACTGAACGACAATGAAGACGAGCCAAACACGAAAAAAAACACCCCCGGACTTTGACATCATCCACTCGTGACACTGTCACTATGCCGCGTTTTGAAACGAGCCAGCCCGTGGCATAGGCAGTATAGGCAAGTGCTAAGGGCGCTGTACATCCAGGTGGGCACCAGAAATGAGCGCGGTTCAGTTGGTTTTGTTTTCGAAATTCCTGACACATTCAGTGATAGACGGCAATATCTCAAAAACCTCTAAAGTGTGCTTCCTACAAAAAGACAAAGCTGGTTATGTTTCACAGCTGTCTTTATTTCTTTTTTTTTCACTCGACTTTACGACCACTCAGGCACGTGCACACATAGGGCTCAACCGGTGCAGTGCACATGTCCTTTTTAGTCTTGGATAGAAAGTGCCCTTCCAAAATAATCAAAAGTGCCCCCACGACGTGACAACACCACTCTTGAGTACGCGTGCTCACCCCCCTCCCTGCTTTATAGTATGCGCGCGACAACACAGCTGATCAGAACTCGCGACAACAACAACCCCCCCCCAACTGTTTTTTTTGCTCCGTCCTGCGGGTTTTATTTTAAACACAACTAATTTTCTCTTAAATGAGCGCAAACAGTTACTAAAGTAGTCAAATGCTTTATTATAGATCTGTGCATTCTACATTAACACCTCTGTTATTAAACAAAACACAATGAGAGATTCATTTACAGCTTTTTAATAAATAACTAAAGTAACTTTAATCAATATGCAAATACAATTAAAAGTTAAATAGATGTTATAGCTTTATTTAATTTCTCTATAGGCCATTGATTTTAATAGGCTAAACCTTTTATTTTATTGTCAGTATTTTCTAATGTTTGCTATGTATTCTATCATTTGAAGCTATTTGTTGTCCCATATTTTTTACATCCCAACGTTGACAGATTGCTAATCAATAAATAGCTATAGTGCTATCTGTCAGCTAATGTTATGGAAGGGCATAGATGTTATGAAAAATAGTAATAGTAATGTAACAACCTCCATCATTCCTTCCTCAAACAAATGTGTGAATATTAGATCTATTCAGCAATAACGTTAATTGCATTGGCACTTTTATCTGACGTTTTCTCAGCTTGTAGTAGTCGATCAAAAAGATATTTAGTTTCTTATGACTATACACTAGCAGTGGAATTTACTGCGATGTGACGGGCGCCACCTGAAATCCTGCCTAGGGTGCCAAACTGGTTAATGCCGGCCTGCTAAAATGATTCCTCAGCTGTTTTTACAGTTTTTTTTTTTTTAATTTTGCACATGGCGAGTCTCAGTAATAAAACCAGTATTTAAATTTTCACCGCGGTCATTTGAATGGTAGCATAGATTGCGTCATCAAATTCTGAGCTCCTATTGGTTCTTGGATTGACGCTCATCGCAGCTGTTGTCTCACTGCAGGAAAGTGTCTGAAATCTTCTGACACTGCGGTGGAAAAATCGGATCGCAACAGGCACTAAGCGGCTGTCTGTGAACATGTCAAACCAATGATCAAAGATCAACGATTTTAGCCTAGGATTTCAGGAATCTTTTAGGATTTCCCAAATTTGTCTCAGATGACAAAATTGTGGCTAAAATCTCACAGTGTGAGCAGGGCTTTAGTAGTTGATAAGTATACACTGCACAAAATGCTTTTCTTACTTTGATTTTTTGTCTTGCTTCTAGTCCAAATATCTAAAAATTCTTATATTATATTATATAATTACTATTATAACTACAAAATAGTTTGCCAATAGCGTAAGAAAAATAATCTTATTTCAAAAGGAAAAACAAGATTATTTTGATTACCCCATTGGCAGATTATTTAGCTTGTTTTAAGAAAAAACTTATTTAATATTGGCATATTATTTCTGAAAACAAGACATTATCTTTTGCTCACCTAGAAAATGCTTCTTGATATATGAATGATATATAGATATTTGGAATAGAAACAAGACAAAAAAATCTAAGTAAGAAAAGCATTTTGTGCAGTGTAGAAATGTAAAATAACTAAATATTGTAAATAAAATGCTGAGTTTCACACAATTGTGTTGGGACAACATGAAGAGAATTATCTTATTAGTTTTTTACAAATTTAAGTGAATTAAACGTAAGGAAATTAAGTTGTCCCCTAAAAACCCACAAGAACTGTGTTGTTTCAGCAAAGTTTTAATGACATCAAACAGCAAATGTCATTTTGACTTAATTTGACCATAATTTTACCAATCCAGGAAATATATCAATATTCAAACTATTAAAAATGTCAATAAAAGTCCCTTTTTCAAACTTTTAAACTTCACAAATTGTTTAAAAAAGATCAAGGTTCCATTATCAACATAGGCTCATTCTGAAAACGCAGCATACATTTCTCGAGATTGGTCAAGAATGGGTCAATAGGTGCCTTTGAAAACACTATTGGTTGGGTTTAGGCAGGGGTGTCAAAATTGTTCTTGGAGGGCCGGTGTCCTGCATAGTTCAGCTCCAACTTCCTTCAACACACCACCCTGGAAGTTTCTAGTATACCTAGAAAGAGCTTGATCAGCTGGTTCAAGTGTGTTTAATTGGGGTTGAAATTAAAATATGCAGGACACTGGCTCTCCAGCACCAAGTTTAGACACCCCTGGGTTTAGGGAAGGAGGAGGGTGGGTCAGTCGATCGGTTAGTCAGTTGACAGCGGCCTCTGGTGGATTTCCGTGAGAACAGCATGTGTGAATGGCACTTGCAAGAGAAATTTAAGATCTCAAAATGCACAGTGGCCAAAAACTGCAAAAAAACATAGCTCCTGGGATGTATTTGGCGCTCTCCAAAAATGTATATATCGGTAAATGTTCAGCCCATAATGAAATATAAACACTTTATAAGGAACTTATTTGTATGGTTATTTTTAAAGTTTATTTTATGGGGTATTTCTATTTTTTACAGTGATTAAGCATCCCTTTATATGAAGTGAAGCTCATCAGCAAGTGCTCACAAACCTTTACATGTTTTTTTTTTGTGTGTGCCTAAAACAAATTTATATATTCTCAACTATGATTAAACCATGAAATCAGCTGGTTTTGCGATCCCGCTTCTTGGCCGACCTCAATCCGTTTCATCATTCCTCAAGCTGGGAGGCTGCGCTCGGATTGTACTTTCTGAGCATTCGCTGTAATGAAATCAATTGATCCTCTTATCGACGCCAGAAGCACAGTTTAGATAAGAACTGCAAAGGGCTTTAAGATCCCTGTTAAAAAGGCCTTTTATCATAGAGCAACACAGACCTTTATGTTCTTTGCAGATATATGCTTTTAGTTTCTTTGAGTTTGCAATTCACGGTGCCTTGCACCCAAATTACAGCTAAAATCAAATCCCTTGTGTCTAAGATAAACTTTAGAATTAGAGATTCTAAAGAATTATTATTCTTTTTAAATTATTATGTGGTGAAGCGGTGGCGCAGTAGGTAGTGCTGTCGCCTCACAGCAAGAAGGTCACTGGTTCGAGCCTTTACTTGGTCAGTTGGCGTTTCTGTGTGGAGTTTGCATGTTCTCCCTGCGATTGCGTGGGTTTCCTCCGGGTGCTCTGGTTTCCCTCACAGTGTAAAGACATGCGGTACAGGTGAATTTAGTAGGCTAAATTATCCATAGAGTAAGAGTGCAAATGAGTGTGTGTGGATGTTTTCCAGAGATGGATTTCAGGTGGAAGGGCATCCGCTGCATAAAACATGTGCTGGATAAGTTGGGGGTTCATTGCGCTGTGGCGACCCCAGATTAATAAAGGGACTAAGCCGAAAAAAGAAAATGAATGAAATTATTATGTTGTGTATAAGGGCGACGCGCTGGCCTCACAACAAGAAGGTCGCTGGTTCGAGCCCCGGCTGGGTTAGTTGGCAGCCCTACAGTAGTCCACTAATAAAGTCCACTTAAAGAAGTGAATGAAAAAGAGTGAGTGAATTGGTGCAGTGGAAGGGATGTCGTTTTTTCTTGTGCCTAGATTTTCAGACCCTATGATAGATATTTAACACTTAGTGATCTTTCTATTAGTAACAAAGCATTTGGATTTTTGTCACGTATAAAAACATTTAATAAAAACATAATTTAACATTGATGTAAAAGTTATTTAGAAAGTTACACTGATAACATTCTGCTGTGGATGCCATCTTGTGATCAACGACATCATATAGAGGTCAAACACTGACATTTATTTATCAGGTATGACGTCATAGTGGTAATGTCCACACAATGTCAAGCTGTAACATCATTAAATGCTGACATTTGGTTGATTTTAGGTTATGTTAGAAAGTGACCAAAATCCAGCGTCATATTGATGCCAAATACTGACACTTATTGGTCAGGTATGGCAACCAAAATCCAACATCTGATATACGTCATAGTGGTAACGTCCATACAACGTCAAGCTGTGACATCATTGGGCGTTGATATTTAGTTGATTTTAGGTTGGACGTTGGACATTGAGGTCGGCCTGATGTTGAGATCTGACGTTAACCCGATTTTCATTTCCGAACAAAATGCAATGTTCACATGATGTTAGGGTACATCCTCAATCTGACGCCTTGTGTCTGCTGGCTGTTTAAGGCCATTTCGGTCATC